TCCACTAATCTCGTGTAAGCTCTAGGCCTCTGGCTACACACCATATACTCGACTCGTGTAAGCCCTATGCCTCTGGCTACACAATACACTCGACTCGTGTAAGCCCTATGCCTCTGGCTACACAATACACTCGACTCGTGTAAGCCCTATGCCTCTGGCTACACAATACACTCGACTCGTGTAAGCCCTATGGCTACACCCACTACACTCGCCTCTGGGTTACACAGAGTCCCGGTCCCCTTAGGACAGCGGGGCTAGGTACCGCAGGGCTCTAGGTCTTCATCCCCGTCTTCATTCTTCGCTGGTTACACACTGCCCTTACGCCTGTGTGCATCCCCTTTTATAGCCCCTGCTCACGAGGGACGGAGCTGATGCGGCGTCGACGTGTGCGTCGTTCCTTAATGACCCAATCACGACGCACTCTCTCTACGATCCGCTCTCCCCAGCGCGTGTTAACATTACCCCACCAATCACACTGCGCTGCCACCTAATCACTCCCTCTCAGCGCGTCACCGCCCACAGCCACTCGGTACCCCGTAACCCACGACCCCGCGCTGACCCCTGATCCTCCACCGTCAGCGCGCGTCACCACCTACACAGCCAATCATCACACACTGTGCATACGATCCTTAATCCCAGCGCGTATCACCTCTACAAGAGTATCCGTTCATCTTGAGGGCCAGATGAACATGTTTTAATTCACTGGTCAGGTGGTGTTGGTCAGAGATGCAATGAGCTCTGTGGTATAGTGTTTTGATGAGATAATTATTTTGAGCCGGGTGGTGGTAGGAATCAGGTTTCAAGTAGGAATCTGTGTGGGTGGCCTTCCTGTAAACAGAATGTCTCAAGGAGCCATCAGGGGGGGGAGCCCATAGGGGTACCCTCATTCTATTTGTAGAAGGTGCCATTCCAGGTAAAGTAAGTGTTGGTGAGGCAATGCCTAACCAACGCAGGTACATCCGAGTTCAGTCCATGTTGGACCAAGTCTTGACGAGGATATCATCAGGAGACAGTACCATGTCCTTGACCATATAAACTGTCTCCTGCGATATCCTCATCAGTTTTGATGTGGTTTCTTAGTTTACCAAAGTCCCAGTGCCTGACACCTTAACAATAATTGAAGACTTGGTCCAACATGGACTGAACTCGGATGTACAGTGAGGGAATGAAGTATTTGATCCCCTGCTGATTTTGTACGTTTGCCCACTGACAAATAAATGATCAGTCTATAATTTTAGTAGTAGGTTTATTTGAACAGTGAGAGACAGAATAACATCAGCAAAATCCAGAAAAACGCATGTCAAAAATGTTATAAATTGATTTGAATTTTAATGAGGGAAATAAATATTTGACCCCTCTGCAAAACATGACTTAGTACTTGGTGGCAAAACCCTTGTTGGCAATCACAGAGGTCAGACGTTTCTTGAAGTTGGCCACCAGGTTTGCACACATCTCAGGAGGGATTTTGTCCCACTCCTCTTTGCAGATCTTCTCCAAGTCATTAAGGTTTCGAGGCTGACGTTTGGCAACTCGAACCTTCAGCTCCCTCCACAGATTTTCTATGGGATTAAGGTCTGGAGACTGGCTAGGCCACTCCAGGACCTTAATATGCTTCTTCTTGAGCCACTCCTTTGTTGCCTTGGCCGTGTGTTTTGGGTCATTGTCATGCTGGAATACCCATCCACGACCCATTTTCAATGCCCTGGCTGAGGGAAGGAGGTTTTCACCAAAGATTTGACGGTACATGGCCCCGTCCATCGTCCCTTTGATGCGGTGAAGTTGTCCTGCCCCCTTAGCAGAAAAACACCCCCAAAGCATAATGTTTCCCCCTCCATGTTTGACGGTGGGGATGGTGTTCTTGGGGTCATAGGCAGCATTCCTCCTTCTCCAAACACGGCAAGGTGAGTTGATGCCAAAGAGCTCCATTTTGATCTCATCTGACCACAACACTTTCACCCAGTTGTCCTCTGAATCATTCAGATGTTCATTGGAAAACTTCAGACGGGCATGTATATGTGCTTTCTTGAGCAGGGGGACCTTGTGGGCACTGCAGGATTTCAGTCCTTCACGGCGTAGTGTGTTACCAACTGTTTTCTTGGTGACTATGGTCCCAGCTGCCTTGAGATCATTGACAAGATCCTCCCGTGTAGTTCTTGGCTGATTCCTCACCATTCTCATGATCATTGCAACTCTACGAGGTGAGATCTTGCATGGAGCCCCAGGCCGAGGGAGATTGACAGTTAATTTGTGTTTCTTCCATTTGTGAATAATCGCAACAACTGTTGTCACCTTCTCACCAACCTGCTTGGCCATGGTCTTGTAGCCCATTCCAGCCTTGTGTAGGTCTACAATCTTGTCCCTGACATCCTTGGAGATCTCTTTGGTCTTGGCCATGGTGAAAGTTTGGAATCTGATTGATTGCTTCTGTGAACAGGTGTCTTTTATACAGGTAACAAGCTGAGATTAGGAGCACTCCCTTTAAGAGTGTGCTCCTAATCTCAGCTCGTTACCTGTATTAAAGACACCTGGGAGCCAGAAATCGTTCTGATTGAGAGGGGGTCAAATACTTATTTCCCTCATTAAAATGCAAATCAATTTATAACATTTTTGACATGCGTTTTTCTGGATTTTGTGGTTGTTATTCTATCTCTCACTGTTCAAATAAACCTACCATTAAAATTATAGACTGATAATTTCTTTGTCAGTGGGCAAACGTACAAAATCAGCAGGGGATCAAATACTTTTTTCCCTTACTGTACCTGCGTTGGTTAGGCATTGCCTCACCAATACTTACTTTACCTGGAATGGCACCTTCTACAAACAGAATGAGGGTACCCCTATGGGCTCCCCCTTGTCACCAGTGATAGCCAATGTTTTCATGGAGAAGTTTGAATCAGACGCCATCCAGACATCTACCCTGCACCCTTCCCTGTGGAAGAGATATGTGGATGACACCTTCGTCATTTGGCCACATGGCCTCTCAGCATTGAACTATTTCCTGGACCACATCAATTCCAGACACCCATCCATCAGATTCACCATGGAAGTGGAGAAATATGGAAAACTACCATTCTTGGATGTTCTGTTTGAGAGGAGACCTGATGGCTCCTTGGGACATTCTGTTTACAGGAAGGCCACCCACACAGATTCCTACTCGAAACCCGATTCCCACCACCACCCATCTCAAAATAATTATCTCATCAAAACACTATACCACAGAGCTCATTGCATATCTGACCAACACCACCTGACCAGTGAATTAAAACATGTTCATCTGGCCCTCAAGATGAACGGATACTCTGACCGTACTATCCGCCAAGCTGTTTCTCCCACCATACAGAAACAACCACCTGAAACTCCGATCAAAACCATCACGTTACCATACATAGCAGGCGTGACCAAAAAGATCTCCAAAATTCTAAACAAACATAAGATTCAGGTCCGATTCAGTACAGTACATACAATCCGTGATCTAATCCCATCTGTGAAAGATGTTATTCCTGACTTGCAATACCCTGGAGTCTATAAACTGAGTTGCATCTGTGGTTATTGTTACATTGGGGAAACGAAACGTCATGTCTCCGATCGTGTCCGCGAGCACAAGTCAGATCTGAAACAAAGCAAAATTGAGTCTTCTGCTATTGCCGATCATTGTTACAACGATGTGGGCTCTCATGATATTGTGTTTTCCGAGACCAAGGTGCTCTGAAAACCTTCTGGCTACCATCAAAGGTTTGTGCATGAAGCCATCCTGATATACAGACATAGACATAACTTCAACCGTGATGATGGGTACAAATTGAGCAATCATTGGAAAGATGTTATTAACCATGTAACAAAGATTGAACTCCTCGGCAAATCCACCTCTTAGACACACTTGAGCTGTTGTGCTTACGCTTCGCAGTCCCCACCTGAAGAAGGATGTAATTAACCAAGTTTAAACTTTAGCTGCCGTGCATTTTACTGCTAAACAGCCAGTTTATATTTACTCTCATAATCATATCCATATTGATTCTTATAATTTTACAGTCATATCCAGCCTGATACACCACCATCACTTAGGAAAAAAGTCTGATTTACAACAGTGTTTCATTCCCATTCGTCATTCAGCGTCCAGGCAGCGTACATGCATTGTACAAGCACCGTACATGCATTGTACAAGTACCGTACATGCAGTATACAAGTACCGTACATGCATTGTACAAGTACCGTACATGCATTGTACAAGCACCGTACGTGCAGTGTACAAGCACCGTACATGCAGTGTACAAGCACCGTACTTGCAGTGTACAAGCACCGTACATGCATTGTACAAGCACCGTACATGCATTGTACAAGCACCGTACATGCAGTGTACAAGCACCGTACATGCATTGTACAAGCACCGTACATGCATTGTACAAGCACCGTACATGCAGTGTACAAGCACCGTACATGCAGTGTACAAGCACCGTACTTGCAGTGTACAAGCACCGTACATGCAGTGTACAGTACAAGCACCGAGATGGTTATCTCCCCCCCCCCCGACTCATTGGCTCCTCCCTGCCCAGCACCCTATATAAAAAAACACGTGTCTTGAATAGCTTTCTTCACACGCAACAGTTATTTTACTGGAGCAGTTACATCTGATGACGGAGGCTGTTGTTGCTTCCAAAACGTCGTGATTTAATTGAGTTATTTTCATTTATTATATTTAATATTATTACTTTTTTTACCTACGTGACTTTACCGAAATGACCTAAGAGTATGAATCACGAAAGCTTCAAATCTAAAACAATGAACCCTGTTTTGGATTTCACCTTTCAAGGCTAGAAATATAATTTTACAGTACCCTTGGTGATATTCACATTCAAACACGAGTTTGTATTTTGCCTTCATTCCTATGCAGCAAGAGTATGCTATTTAAATACTAGGCTGTTGTTGCTTTGACTGTCAAGCCAACAAATCAACTTCTCTACTGCATAACTGATGTCACCGGCTCGAGTGGCTGGTTAGCTCACCTGTGTGGTGTTCTTCATACAGACAAATCCCTGAGCCAGGGTCTCTCTTGAGTCCCTCCATGCACTGACACACGGTGTCCTGGGCCACGGAGCAGGCGTGAGCCACCTCCTCATCTGTAATGAGAAAGCATCGTACCAAGCCACCAACCCCTCCATTCAAGCCAAAGTTACTTAAATAGTTTTGTTTTGCATCATCAGTCACTGAATGAGAGAAAAAAATGGTTGCCAGTTTGCCTCACATATAGAAATGTCTATAACAATAAGCGTACCATTTAAGACTGGGAAACAAAAGGAACCACCGCAATGTAAGGTAAGCACGCTGTACTTGCAACCCATAGGTCACTGGTTACATTAATAATTTAATCAATGTAAAAACAAAACGCCTCTGTCCACCCAGCACAATGTCATGTATCGTGAAACATCAATCTATTCTCACATTGACCATTCAACTTAAGCATTTTTTTCCCATAAAAAATAAAACACATAAAAGAGTAAAACTGATAGGCTGGTGTCTCATGCTGCCACCCTTGGAGTTACAATTAAGAGGTGGAAGACCTCTTCCAAGGCGTCTGAGCAATGTGCCAGAGTCGGTCAAACACCCTCTAGAGGGGATGTCGTGGGCTAGAACAAAATAGTATGCTAACCTCTTACAAGAAATTTGGTCTTTGTGGAAGAGTAGACCTAAAGTCCGGTAATTAATTGCGAAAATAACTACTGGAACCTTTGTTGGAACGCGGACGACTGTGATTTGACCAATTGGAGAGGTTATAATCATATGATCGTATATATTCCTGATAAAACATCCCCTGTTGAGGTTGTTTAGCCATACTTCACACATAGCAGGTTTGTAAAGGTGAGGAACATAGATGTCGGAGATTAGTACAGTACAATTGATTTTGCTGCACTCATCAGTACATATCCCCGTCGCGGTCTATACCACGAGTTATGTGCATGGTTGACGCCAATTCAAACCCTTTCCAGCCTGAAACTTGTTTAGCTTGTGATATATGATGAGATCAGGCACATTCCCGATACTGTCATTGGCAGGACATTATTAATTACGACAGATCCTGGTCTGCTTGATATCCTGTTTTGTTTTCTCGCTGTACACTCCAAATAAAACTTATCTACCTTATTACAAGATGCTGATGGCACAATTGGAATATGATGCATACAAAGAGATGAATCTCAAAAACACACAATGCAGATATGGCAGTAACCTACTTGCTGTGCTGCCATTTACCTGCTCTGCAGCTGCTGCACTGTGCACACTTCTCTTCATGGTTGACTCTGTTCATGAAGCTGCCCTCAGGGCATAGATCGCACACCGCTCTCATTTTATCAGCTAAACAGTCGATCTCCTTGTACGTCCCTGGAGGACAAAGCAGTGTGAGCAGGCAAGAGATAAGACTTCACTTTGAAATGGGAGCTGGACAAAACGTCCAACCAGGATCTGATTATTTGGGAGATAGAGATAACAATATTTAAACATTGGGCCTTTTAGGAACAATGCATCAACCCTAAGCATTTTGCTGTTTTTTTCTTTATTACAAATTAAACCATAGTGGGCCACTTGGAATAGCAACACCCATTGGATTTCTTTCCTGCATCTGTAGTGGGTCAACCTGGCCAGAAAACAGGCACCTGGGTACCACGCTGTTTGTTTCACACAGCAGGAGGTGTAGGGCAATGGTTCTCAACTTGTGGTCCGCAAAGCCGTGGGAAGTTGTCCATGGACTTCTCCTGGTTTGAATGTTATCGTTACAATCGAATGGCAAGGGGAGGGAAGTGTTATGAGCCTGGATGGCCATGCCTGTGTTGCTTTACCTGCAGGGCACAGCTCACAACAGATGCCTCGTTGTGATTTGTAGAATCCGTCATCGCACTCCTTGGCAAGAGACAACTTGTGCAGTAAAGAGATCTGCAAAACGGATCGATACGGAGAGGTTGGTCAATCATGGGGAGGAACTGAATAGCAATAAGACCCAGCTAAACGAATAATAAATATGCACGGTCTGCTTCACTCACAGTGGTCATTCAATATACCCTGGCACTCGCACCTTCAATTAGCTCGGTTGGCTACTTAGGGTGTGAAATAAATTCAACCAACATACATAATTTGAAAGGAGTCGGCCATTGTATGCGTGTCACAGTCCAAATTTGCTGAATAAAAAAAATTCCTGCAATTACAGTGGAACCTCGGTATGCGATCGCGTTGGAATACGTCGAATTTGGAATACGTCGTGTTTTTTCGAGAGAAAAATGTTTTGGGATACGACGTCTTGATTGGGATACGACGCGTTTGCTAGAACTTGTGTGGGTCGGGATGAGTCACCGCGTACAGAACCCGCGTGTGCCCCGTTCATGACTGAGACAAAGTGAGAGGGGCGGGGCACGTGGGGGAGAGGGGCGGGGCACGTGGGGGAGAGGGGCGGGGGGCGTGGGGGAGAGGGGCGGGGGGCGTGGGGGAGAGGGGCGGGGCACGTGGGGGAGAGGGGCGGGGCACGTGGGGGAGAGGGGCGGGGCACGTGGGGGAGAGGGGCGGGGCACGTGGGGGGGAGAGGGGCGGGGGGGGGAGAGGGGCGGGGCACGTGGGGGAGAGGGGCGGGGGGCGTGGGGGAGAGGGGCGGGGCGCGTGGGGGCGGGGGGCGGGGGGCGTGGGGGAGAGGGGCGGGGCACGTGGGGGAGAGGGGCGGGGGGCGTGGGGGGCTGCCCCCATGGAGGGTGGAGCCCCGGGTCGAGGCGCGCGCGACGGGCGGGGTTGAGGCACGCCACGTGACCAGCGCTGCTGGTAGCAGCGCGGTCACGTGGCTTCTGTATGCATTTTAGTAATTAGTGTCTAAATTATTTTATACAACCCCATGAATGTATAATATGCCATATAAAATATAATTTCTTTTCCTCTGGAACGGATTTTTCCCTTTATTTCTTATGGTAAAAATTCGTTTGGTATACGTCATTTTCGGTATAAGTCCTACCCTCTGGAACGAATTAACGCCGTATACCGAGGTTCCACTGTACTCAATTGGGGAACGCACCAATCATCGCCCCCGACTGACAAATTAATGCCCATTTGCAGGCCAGGTGCTGAGTTACCTTGTGATGTGTTTATGTTGCCTATAATTTGCACTCATGTCGTGTTTTTCTATTACTTGCAATTGCACGCCTGCTCATGTCACAGCTGGTGGAAGGGCCTCCACTACAGGGAGCTCCAGAGGATATTTGTCGACTCTTCCATGCTGACCAAACGTCGTGGAAGATGTAGGGAAACTCCCAATTCAACTCCTCACATCATCTTATCCTATCAGGGATGTGTATATATCGTCTTATGAATAACTTGAGACCTGACGATCAGATTCTGCGATGAACTCAATTACACTGCTGTGTGGACAGATGTGGTGGAGTAGATTTAAATTGAGCCAGAGGCCCCTGTATGGAATGTTCAGTGTGCTCACGACTACACCACGGCAGCCCCCTTAATTTCTCAGTTAACAAGGTACAAATGTTCGTGTCCTTGACATGTCTATATTTTGTTGAAAACTGACAATCAGTTATTTTATGCTTTAGCAGTTACCAGGGATGCAACAAACACGCTAATTTCGACTGTGGCTTTTACACTAAACCGTGAAACACACCGCCCAACAATCCATGCCTGTTTCACTAATTCACTGGCAGCATCTCAGACATTTACAAGATCACTCCAGTCGCCCTGTCTCACCAGTGTGGGACGCTGCTAATCACCCTGCCACCTGAGCGAAGAAGCGCAACTCCATTCTGTGTCTCCACACACAAATACAGCGAATATATTAAGATCCAATATATTAAGACAAATTCTATCCAGTTGTATTTGTTCAAGCAAGAACGCGCTGGAGCGGTTTTGAACTTCTGGTTCTCATCAGCAGTCAGGCTTGTTAAACAAATGGAGCAATACATTCCATATAAACTATTGGGTCCTGATCAACACCAAAACTAATTAAGTCTATACCGTCATCATGCATTGGCATGGAACATTGTGGGTAAACGCAACTATAAACAATCCTACAATGTCTTCACATAGAAGCACACATTATAACGAATTAGTCTATTGGCCTAGTGGCTTTCCATACCAAGTATGGTTGATGGATCACACAGATGGTTGTGTGCTGACAGATTAAAACTTGCTAGGCTCTGAGGAGCCACAATCTTTTCTGACCACTGAGCATTGCACTTATGCAGCGTTGTCTAGATCCACTACCTGCTGAGACCGCCATCCATGCCGTTATTCTTGCTTGGACTACCGCGACTCATTCTTCTATGATCTCAGATCAAGAGATGCCGCGATAACAAGGTAATACGCATCGCTTTCACACTCACATCTGCTGCTGTGTCCTCACCGAACTCTAAACAGATTTTACTTAAAGCTAGCCTATCACTAATCTCGGAGAGAATAAGGTTACTCCGAGTTGAACTCCATCATTTAGACAAGACTCTCTTACAAACACATTTAATGTTAACACAAAAAATGTCCCCTTCTGATTGGAACCACGTTGACAACATGACTTCTGCTTCTGCTGACTCACTGTCAGCCAAATGCAAAGCCAACCTGGTTTCTAAATTCAACCTCCTATCTAAGAAGAAATCAGAGCCACAAATCACAAAGCTGGATGTCAACAAGACCGTTATTAATCAGAGTAACATCCCAATTTCTGACAATCTGAAAACGGTACTGGCCAAAGGACTAAATTTCGCTGTCACCCCTAAATATATACCAGTAGAGGATGTGATTTCTCAGGTTGATGTTGCCCTCAGAGGCATAGGACACATCCATGCGGATGTAGCAAGAGCTGAAATAGCCACGATTCTAAAGAATGCTAAGAAACCCACTAATAACATTAGCAAAAACGAACGCTCTGAACTCGCGAACTTAAAAAAGAGAGATGATATAGTCATCCTCTCGACAGACAAGGGCAATGCCACGGTCATCATGGATAAAGATTCATACAACAACAAAATCCTGGACCTACTTAATGATGGGAGTTACTCCAAAATTAAAAGCGATCCTACTAACAGCCTAACGACAAAAACTAACAAAATCATCACGAGTTCGACTTCCCTAATCGAACCAAGCAAACGTCCCTCTCTAAAACCCTCGGCGGCAAGACCTCCCAGACTCTATGGTCTTCCCAAGATCCATAAAGAAGGCACCCCGCTACGACCCATCGTGTCGACGATAAACTCTCCTACCTACAAACTAGCCCGTTTTCTATCAGATACTCTGCTCCCCTTCACAGGCAAGACCTCTTCGGCAGTACTCAACTCAACCCAATTAGTCTCTATGGTCAAGGACATGGTACTATCTCCTGATGATATCCTCGTCAGTTTTGATGTAGTATCTCTGTTTACTAAAGTTCCAGTGCCTGACACCTTAACAATAATTGAGGACTTGGTCCAACATAGATTGAATGCGGATGTACCTGCACTGGTTAGGCATTGCCTCACCAACACCTATTTTACCTGGAATGGCACCTTCTACAAACAGAATGAGGGTACCCCTATGGGCTCCCCCTTGCCACCAGTGATAGCCAACATGTTCATGGAAAAGTTTGAATCAGACGCCATCCAGACATCCACCCTGCGTCCTTCCCTGTGGAAGAGATATGTGGATGACACTTTCATCATTTGGCCACATGGCCTCCCAGCATTGAACCACTTCTTGGACCACATCAATTCCAGACATCCATCCATCAGATTCACCATGGAAGTGGAGAAAGATGACAAACTACCATTCTTAGATATTCTGTTTGAGAGGAGACTTGACGGATCCTTGGGACATTGTCTACAGGAAAGCCACCCACACAGATTCAACAGTGACTTGCGCACAAACACGTCCACGTCGACGACACCCACGAGCACCCCGTGCCCTCTTTTAGCCCCGCCACCCCCCTCCCGATATGTTACATTCATTGGCTACCACATTCTGATAAGCTCCTCCCCACCTCTCCTCCCCTTTAACTTGTATTTAAGAGCTTGCATCTTGAATCCCTGCCTCACTTGATGCAGCAAATCTGGCTGTGACGGTCCCACCTGATGATGGAGACTTGTGTTGCCTCCGAAACGTCGTGATTTTATTATTTAATTTTTATTAATTTTTATTTCATTTTTTTACCTACGTGACTTTACCGAAAGAACTAAGAGTATAGTATATCTCAGATTAGAGATGATTCGGAATGCCGCTGCAAGGCTCCTCACCCATAGAGACAAACGTGATCACATCACTCCAGTACTGCAATCTCTCCACTGGCTTTCTGCCAAGTCTCAAATTCACTGAAATATTGCAGTGACTGTTTTTCTATCAGTCACGATCTTGTCCCTGTCTCTTACCTCTCCCTTCTCATCTCACTCTGTTAGTCTCCACGCACTCTCCTACTCGCCCCCTCTCATCTCACTATTTCCCCCCTCCATGCAGTCTCCTACCTCCCATCAATCCACTCTCCTACCTCTGCACTCTCATCTCTCTTCCTGAAGTTCAATACTTTAAACTGAACGTATAATTTACCGTCTTACCATATGGTAGAAGAAAAAGCCAAGAGGTAATACATCTCAGGAGACCGTCTCCGAGATGTACGTCAGCTCTCTACATATTAGCCTAATTGAAATGTTTTTTTTGCATTACCAGTAACTGGATGATTAAAAAACTTATTGGATTACCAAACGCTTAAATGTCTTGAAAAATAATTATAACCGAGAATTGAAGGAAGCTGCTGTGGTGTAATGGAAACTTATTGGCCATTCACAGGTGGCTGTGTGGTGCCATTCATTTTTTTTATTAATGCGATCAACACTCAGTTGCAATGTACAACGCGTCGATAGAGGAGTGGTGCTACAAGTTGATGTAGGGTGAGGATGGGAACATTTTGGGGACCGTAATGGAGGTAAGTGGTGCTGTGATGGTGAGTGGATGTGACTGGTGAGGTGTGGAGGAGGGTGTTGCTGTGTGCTAATAAGTGATGGGGTTTAGAGGTGATTGGTGCTGTGTGGAAGTGAGTGGTCGTGTATGGAGGTGAGTTGAGAACCTGGTTTAGCCACAGTTCAGTCTATATTTGTCTCTATTCGAGTCTGTGCGTCTGTGTAATTGTTTTCCATCCATTGCACTCTTTGAGTTTGTGACTCTATGGATCTCGATGTGAGGGTATGGGTCTCCGTGCGTGTGTATGCGTCTCCGTGCGAGTGTATGCATCTCTGTGTGAGCCCACATAGAGAAAATGTGTGTCTCTGTGCAAATATATGGATCTCGATATAGGAATACAGATATCGATGTAAGTCTTTGGTGACCGGGCTTGAGGATCCGGTTTAACCGCAGATGGCTGAAACTTGAATTCGAACCCAGGACCTCAGCAATACGTTAACCCTTTCACTGACAAATGACTGAGATAATGTGAGTGGGCATCCTCACCATGAGCAGAAGTTTTACTCCCATCGTGAGCCCCGCTGGGTTCCTCCACAAGGTCATGATGCTCCGCTCTCCACGGCGCAGACGCTCAGACTCCTCCATCCCATGTCCAGCTCTTATCCATCTCAAAATGTGAGTCCAGAAAGTGTGACCTTAATTTATCAGCCTCGACGTTTTGCTTTGTTCTTGGCAAGCATCTGTTGAAAATAAACAACACTCTGGATTTGTATTCCTAATTATTGGATCTTGTCAAGACAATGCTGGATGGTGGTTGCAAATGATGTAGTTACAAATTATTCTGTTGAGCACACGCCCAATGTCCGAAAAGGTTACCAACAACACAATATCCTCTTGGTTTTTTCGGTAAAGTCACATAGAAGGGAAGTAATAAAATAATACAAATAAAACATAATAAAATAAAATAATTCTCACGACGTTTCGGCTACAACGCAAGCAGCCGTCTTCAGGTGAAGAATGAGACACTGCCAAGCTAGGAGCTTATATATACGATGGGTTGGAGGTGGAAGAGCGCCTTAACAAAAAGAATGTGCATATCAAGAGGAATTTAGCATATTCATGGGAAATGCGTAGGAGGTGGGCGGGGGGGGTTTCAAAGTCATATTATGCCCATGCATTATGCAGGATCGGCAGCACCAAGGGAGGGTGCAGGGAGTAGCATTAACAAAGGAAAGGAATGTTAATAGTATGTAGCTGCAGTTACTAACCAACCACGTAGAAAACTAAAGTATAAACTACATAAAAACTAAAGTATAAACTGCATAGCATCATCAGTATACTTACTATACTCTACAATAAGCTGAGTTACTAACAGCAAGTAATACATTACAATTCTACGTCGTAAAAATTATATAATATGCTTCCATCTAAACTTTATTCTCTTACATCACACGAGCATACACTGTACTATATACTGCCATAGATAAACCCAACATTAAATTATATACTGTATTGCCATAAACCACCCCTATACCTTATACATTTTAATATAACACTATGTATTATTCTACCCACCCTAATGTGTATCACACTGCTATATGTTTACTATACAATTACGATACTATATATTACTTTGTACATTGTATTAAGCATATAAATGTTATACTATTTGTTATTATACACTGTACCATTGACCGTCGTGTCAATGGGTGAGTCGTGGGGGGAAAAAATTCAACCTGACATGGTAAGAGGTAGAGAGAGGCGAGGAGTGTGAGCAGAGTCACGTGCAGGCTGCTGTAACACCACACCTTCTCTACTGCTGTACCACTACACCTTCTCTACTGCTGTACCACTACACCTTATCTACTGCTGTATCACTACAACTTCTCTACTGCTGTACCACTACACCTTCTCCACTGCTGTACCACTACACCTTCTCTACTGCTGTACCACCACACCTTCTCTACTGCTGTACCACTACACCTTCTCTACTGCTGTACCACTACACCTTCTCTACTGCTGTACCACTACACCTTATCTACTGCTGTATCACTACAACTTCTCTACTGCTGTACCACTACACCTTCTCTACTGCTGTACCACTACACCTTCTCCACTGCTGTACCACTACACCTTCTCTACTGCTGTACCACCACACCTTCTCTACTGCTGTACCACCACACCTTCTCTACTGCTGTACCACTACACCTTCTCTACTGCTGTACCACCACACCTTCTCTACTGCTGTACTACTACACCTTATCTACTGCTGTACCACTACACCTTCTCTACTGCTATACCACTACACCTTGTCTACTGCTGTACCACCACACCTTCTCTACTGCTGTACCACTACACCTTCTCTACTGCTGTACCACTACACCTTCTCTACTGCTGTACCACTACACCTTCTCCACTGCTGTACCACCACACCTTCTCTACTGTTGTACCACTACACCTTCTCTACTGCTGTACCACTCCACCTTCTCCACTGCGGTACCACTACACCTTCTCTACTGCTGTACCACTACACCTTCTCCACTGCTGTACCACCACACCTTCTCTACTGTTGTACCACTACACCTTCTCTACTGCTGTACCACTACACCTTCTCCACTGCTGCACCACTACACCTTCTCCACTGCGGTACCACTACACCTTCTCTACTGCTGTACCACTACACCTTCTCACTGCTGTACCACTACACCTTCTCTACTGCTGTACCACTACACCTTCTCACTGCTGTACCACTACACCTTCTCTACTGCTGTACCACTACACCTTCTCACTGCTGTACCACTACACCTTCTCTACTGCTGTACCACTACACCTTCTCCACTGCTGTACCACTACACCTTCTCCACTGCTGTACCACTACACCTTCTCCACTGCTGTACCACTACACCTTCTCTACTGCTGTACCACTACACCTTCTCCACTGCTGTACTACTACACCTTCTCTACTGCTGTACCACTACACCTTCTCCACTGCTGTACCACTACACCTTCTACACTGCTGTACCACTACACCTTCTCCACTGCTGCACCACTGCACCTTCTACACTGCTGTACCACTACACCTTCTCTACTGCTGTACCACTACACCTTCTCCACTGCTGTACCACTACACCTTCTCCACTGCTGTACCACTACACCTTCTCTACTGCTGTACCGCTACACCTTCTACACTGCTGTACCACTACACCTTCTACACTGCTGTACCACTACACCTTCTACACTGCTGTACCAATACACCTCCACTGTGTAAACATCATTAGGGGATACAAAGACGGTAATTGTCATGGCCACAGCACCCATTGATAGGTACGCGCTAACAGCACTTGCCTCAACAATGTTAGGCTATACAGTGGATCTTTGTATTTTGTGTATGTGCAGGTGCGTGCAAGCATTTATGTTTGCGTGTGTGCGTGTCACATTCCTGTCTGTGGAGGTATTTGTGTATCAGATGGAAACGGAACTCATCGTGAAGGTCAGTGTTCACGGGGTTCTGCCATTTCCACGCACGGGCAGAACAAGGTGAAACAAGGTGAACCATTTTGTTCAGAACTAATAAATGAATATCCATTGCTGTCCCGTAATTCTATGCTCCCGTGTCTACTCTCTCCGAATTTACAACCCCCCATTGACCTCGTGTTGAAGTATGGTTACATCACTCCCCACAACTCACACGGCGTGAAGAAGTCCGCATAGAGCAGTGGATTGACAAAAAATATGCCACTAAAACATCCTTAATACACACAGTACATAATCCTCTTCATATCTACACCACATCCACTGCTGTACCACTACACCCACTACTGCTGTACCACTACACCCACTCTACTGCTGTACCAATACACCCACTCCCCTGCTGTACCACTACACCTTCTCCACTGCTGTACCACTACACCTTCTCCACTGCTGTACCACTACACCTTGTTGTCTGACCAGCTAGTTGTGCCTCAGGCTTGTTCCATCGGGACCGGCCCTCTAACTGCTACCGTAGGTGCACACCAGATTCAACATCCCTGGTGAGTCGGTGCAGTCAGCAGCTGCCAACGCCGAACCCCGGGTGGCGGTTAATTAACCCGGAAACCTTAGCTTGTCTGAGCCTGGGCATGTGGAACCCCTGGTAGAGGAAATGCCACCAAAAGGGTCTTTGGACCTTCCACTGCAACCAGGACCATCTCCAGTCGTCTTGACTACGTCTTGCCACTGGGTACAGATGGGGCTGGTCGAGAGAGTGAGGTTGACGCTGCGCACATCACCCTCACTTAAATCCAAGTTCTCTGCGCAAGTCATGGCACTTTTTACCATCGTCATTATCCAAGTCCTGTGGCGATGGGTGAGCGTCGAAGCAGCAGGCACGGATATGCTGGAAGCTGTAGCCGCAAACCTGCACGTAGGCGGCTCAGGATATTGGTCGTTCCTTCACTGGACCGAAGCAGCAGTGAAGTCCGGCAGCACCCTGAGTGACTGAGCAGCCCTATTTAGAATCACACTGCTCACCTCCGTAGTGAGGAAAAGGTTAGAAATTGTACCCTAAACATTGCCTGCTTCAAAACATCCTGGCCAGCCTACCGCAGCTGGCGGGATCCCATACTTGTAGTCGAAAAACTAAAATAAAAACAATTAAAATGAAAAAGACCAAAGTGATACCACTCACTGTTGGCGCCTGAAATGTGTGGACTTTGATGGACACATCTGGATAAAAAAAGACCTGAGAGACGCACCGCCCTCGTGGGCAGAGAGCTCGCCAGATACAATGTGGATGTTGCTGCCCTTAGTGAGACCCGACTGGCCAATACTGGACAGGTGAATGAAGTGGGTGCAGGTTACACATTCTTCTGGAGCGGACGAGGCCAGGAGGAGAGACGTGATGCTGGTGTTGGTTTTGCAGTAAAAAACCACCTGGTCAACCAACTGGCAAGCCAAGCCCAAGGGGATAATCGACCGTTTAATGACCTTAAAGCTCCACCTATTGGGTAAAAAGGAGGCCACCATCATCAATGCCTATGCCCCTATCATGACCAACTCTGACGAGATAAAAAAACAAGTTTTATAATGACCTGGAAGTCATTATTGCTGCCACAGCCTGCTCTGACAAACTCCTGATACTTGGTGACTTCAATGCCAGAGTTTGAAGTGACCATCAATCATGGAATGGAGTCATAGGTGCACATGGCATTGGAAAATGTAATAGCAATGGCCTTCTGCTGCTGAAAACATGCTCTGAATTTGACCTGCTCATCACCAACACGATATTCTAACTACCAAAGCGCAAGAAAACGTCATGGATGCATCCTCGTTCACACCACTGGCACTTGATTGACTACGTCATCATGAGGAGGAGCGACCGGCACGATGTCAGGGTGACCAAGGCAATGTGTGGTGCTGAATGTTGGACTGACCATCGTCTCATCATCTCCAAACTTAACATTCAGATTAAGCCTCCCAGACGCCCACAAGGAAAAGGACGTGTCAAGCATCTTAACATCACTTGCCTACAACAGGATCACACCAGACTGGCCTTTGTTGAGGCTCTTGACCATCACCTGGAGTCACTAAGCTTTGAGCATACAGACGCTGAGGCAGACTGGACTGCTCTCAAGACCGTGTAGCATTCTACAGCCCTTGAAACACTTGGTGTTCCCATACGTACACATCAAGATTGGTTTGATGAGAACTATGCAGAAATCCGAGCACTCCTTGACGAAAAACATCGCCTGCATGAAGCATATCTGAATGACAGCAGCTCAAGCTTAAAGAAAACTTCCTTCCTCAACATTCGCAGGGTTGTCGAGCGGAGACTCAGAGTCATGCAAGACACCTGGCTATGCGCAAAAGCTGATAAGATTCAATCCTACACTGACAGTAACAACACCAAGTGCCATTTCCACACATGGGCATAACAAGGTGAAACAAGGTGAACCATTTGGTTCTGAACTAAGTAATGAATATCCATTGCTGTCCCGTAATTCTATGCCCCCGTGTCTACTCTCTCCGAATTTACAACCACCCACTGACATCGCGGTGAAGTAAGGTCACATCACTCCCCACAGCGCACACGGAGTGAGGAAGTCCGCATAGAGCAGTGGACTGACAAAAAGGATCCCCCAAAAACATCCTTAATACACACACAGTACATAACCCTCTTCATATCTACACCACCTCCACTGCTTTACCACTACACCCACTCCACTGCTGTACCACTACACCCACTCTACCGCTGTACCACTACACATTCTCCACTGCTGTACCACTACACCCACTCCACTGCTCTACCACTACACGCACTCCACTTCTGTGGATAAGGTATTGTGGTAATTCATATGAACACATCCTTTATTCATCCACTTGAAATGTGCTTCTATCCAAATTAATAACGTGCTGACCCCAAGCCACTCCAACGCTTGTCGTACTGTGAATATAAAACGTAACATTAACCATCATCAGCCATGAGCGATCAACTGCTGGATGAAGGCTTCCCAGAGCCGTCACCGTCTCTCCCGAATCTGCGACGCAAGAATCCTCCCAGTACCTGCATACTTGATGAGTTCATCGCTCCATCTCCTCTCAGACGCGTTCCGTTCCTGGTTACTTCTCGTACTGTGGAGTTGTACGGCGCTGACCACTCAGAGACCCTCGCATTGCAGAACGCTGCTGCTGCTGTGTCGAGAGGCTGAAACCTCTCCCCTTCTCACGGCCACACCGGTTCTGTGGGGTTCTTGTGCCCCACATTGTATGCGGGTGACGTCGAATACCGATGGGGTGTGCAAATATTTTTTTATTAATATTCTCCGAAGCTCATGGCTATTTTGATTCACGTATGATTTCATGTCACTTTAATCTATATCTCCACAGAGGTTCCTTTAACATCTGGCAGTCCACCAAGCAACATCTGACCGCTGACGAGACAATTAATGTCTAAACCGGTCCAGAGTTTGCTTGTAGTGAATCAGTCTGCTGAAAGTATTCACTCACAGACGGTCAACGCTGAAAATAATTATTGTTCGTGTGTTCATTTCATCTTTAGAATCATACTATGTATTTAGATTGCAGGAGGAATCCATGAAGCCCTATATCATAGATGTCCGGTCGGGGCAGGTCAGCAAGTTACAAAAACATTGCAAGTTAAAAGGATAGGAATGAAAAAAATATGGAAAAGGTAAGAAAATCAATACACGTAAATAAATGCAAATATTTCAAGTTCAAGTTAATGTATTAGGTATAGCCCTGTGAGACATTCGGCTCTTGAATCGGGTGCAACCGCAACAAACAAAAAACAAAAACATGAACAAGAAAACATTTTAAAGTGAATATGTGACTAAGTGCAAACAGAAAATCCAAGAAAAGACAGCAAAATATTGCATAAAAAACACCGTACACCAACGCTGTGCAAAAATCCCAGTGGGATGCAAGTCAAATAACAATAACAACAACCATAACACAACTTAGATGAAGGCCATCAGTCTTACTCCGTACTACAACAAACAAACATGGCCAAACCAATAACCTTTCGAAATCACCAAAATAATGCCATGAAAGCAATGAAACAGTGATCATAGGAACTGTTACAGAATTTTCACAATAAACGACATAAACAACATGTACTACCAAAACCCTGCAGCCATTCTGGCTGCATGAGTCACTCCACAACAGTAGGAGCATCAGTCGGAGTATTATAATGTTTCAATGCACCTTTAAGATCAGCACACTAAATCAAAACACAGGTCATACTTTGCAGCGATCATCTAGAGCAAAACATTTTATTTTAGGCCACTGAATAGCACTGGCAGCTAGGGGTGTACAACTCCTCTAGAGCAGTTTTGAGTGAAGATCTCATAGGTAGTGACTCAAGTTGCAATTTATTGGCAATAGCATTCCAGACCCTGGGGGTATCAATAGCAAAGGCCCTTCCCCTCCAGTATATGTGTAGTGACATAAGAAGGGAGGGGCTGCTGGGGGCTCTGGGTTCCCGGGCGGGTCCAGACGCTTAAGCCTCTGGGCGCCAGGCGCTGGGTTCCCAGGGGGTCCAGACGCTTAAGCCTCTGGGCGCCAGGCATTGGGTTCCCAGGCGCTTAAGCCTTTTGGCGCCGCCAACGGGGGGGGGGGGGGCTGTGTGTGCTCTGTGGGATGTCTGGTGGCGCACACGGCCCCACCCCTCGTTGGACTAGGCATAAAAAGGGGAGCTCCCTAGACGATCGGGGCCAGTTGTAACTCAAGACCCAAGACCCACGACCAGCCATCTGAAGACCCTGGGATGTTGTGAGAGCGAGTGGTGGGACTCTGGAACTCCCGACTCTACGACCTTGTGAGGGCGAGTTCCAGAGCGTAGCCAGAGTAGAGTATCTAGGCTGTGTACCTAGGCTGTGTACCTAGGCTGTAACAGAGTATCAGGACTGTTGGAGTGTTGTGTTGTAATAAAGAAGTTACCTCTACAAGTGTCTCTGGAACCCGTTACATTTGGCGTCAGAAGTGGCAATGGAGACAAGAAGTAAGCCACGTACCTTCAGTCCTGACGGTGATGTTGAGTAGCAAGCGGCGACCGGGCAGCCAACTCGGGCCGACAACGACGCCGCACCGCCGGCTGAGCAGTCGTCCACCACACCTGCCGATCCTCCTCCAGCGTCGGGAGCAGCAATGGAGGAAACGCTGCTTCACCTCACCGAGCTGCTCCACGCCACCGTCTCCATCCTGGACGACATGCGTCGCTCACAGGCGGAGACAGGAGGGAGAGAGGCGGCGCAGCGGCCGCGCCATTCCGCCGGCTCCCACACAAAGATGGCAGCCATTCCCGCCGCAAATACATCCGGGTGTGTCGTCACTTCTGCCGGGGGAGCAATGACCGCTGGGAGCGACGTCACTTCCTGGCAGAGGTGTGGACTCGAGTCATGTGACTTGGACTCGAGTCAGACTCGAGTCATGAATTTGATGACTTCAGACTCGACTTGGACTTGCATAACAATGACTTTGTCCCACCTCTGAGGTGTGGACTCGAGTCATGTGACTTGGACTCGAGTCAGACTCGAGTCATGAATTTGATGACTTCAGACTCGACTTGGACTTGCATAACAATGACTTTGTCCCACCTCTGCTTCCTGGCCCAGCGTGGGCCAACCCGACGACTCCGCGTCATCAGCGCTGCGTCCCTCACCGCCGAGTGACAGCGCTGGGAACGCGAAGCCAGCTTCAGCCGGGTTGCCAGGCAACGAGCGCGGGGCTCACGTCCACCAACGCCTGCCGGCACTCAAGGCGTTTTCTTCAGAGGGAGGTGAGTGGGCGGCGTTCGAACGCCGGTTCGTCTCTCTTATAGAGACATCCGGCTGGTCGGAGTATGAAGCGCTCCAGGGCCTCCCGGCCATGCTCGACGACGACTCCCTCGCAGCACTCCTTGCGGTGCCACGGGCGAAACGTGCCACGCTCACGGATGCCCTTCATCAGATGCGGCTGATTTATGGACCCCCATCCGAAGCACGTCACCGCTTCGATACGAGGAGGAAGAAGGCCTCCGAGTCGGCGATGGGGTACCGCAGCGCGCTGCTGGCCATGGAGCGGGTTGCCTACCCTCGTATGGATGAAGACGCTGTGGAGTCACTCGTGCTGCAGAAGCTCATGAGCTTGGCCCGCCAGCTTCGAGTTGCCATGCCGACAGCCGACGACGACGACGACTTCACGTTGCTACGTGCTGCCAGGTGCATCCAAGCACACCTACATTGCGATGAGGACACGACCATCGCCGCCTGCGCAGGCCCACCTGATGCACAAGCCTATGACGTGCATTCGGGGCCTCATCAGGCCTTCGCGGCAACAGAAAATCGCGGATCGTCCAACTGGCGATCCCAGCGAGATCACCATCAGCGGGACCGGCCAATCTCGCGCCAGGACGGGGCGTCCATTGTCTGCCACAACTGTGGCCTTCGGGGCCATGTGTGGCGTCCGGCTGCCGGGTCCCCCGACGCCGGACTTCAGGACCTCCGGCGCCTCGGCCACCACCGTATCCTCGGCATACCCAGGCGAGTCACGACACCTCGCACTCTCGGCCCCCACTTACAACAAGCACGCACCCTCACACCACACAGGGGGGTCATGCTTCGGAGGAGGGGGATTCGGGCCCATCATTGAACAACCGGGCGCTCGGACCAGGTCAATGGTCCGAGTTGGCCCATAGGGTCGTTGCCGCGGCGGCAGGGTCCTCTGCCGTAGTGGGTTCCATCGAGGGCGTTGATGTTCGTATGTTGATCGATACGGGTGCGTCGGCGACCATCATTTCAGACATAATTTATAACATTCTGCCCGATACATGCCGTCCCTTGCAGCCAGTTGATGTGCCATGCTATGCCGCAAATGGGGGTTCGTTGGGCATCACCGGACAGATCAATGCTCAGATCCGCATTGCTGACGTCCAATTAGTTGGGCCATTTTGGTCTCATCAACCCTCGCCGTTCCGTGCCTCCTCGGAACAGATTTCTTGGGGAAGATGCCCATTAAAATTCTCATTAACAAAGGGTGTATTGAGCTCCCCTCCGGCCGCCGCATGGCCTTCCTGCCCACACCCACTCGGTTGCACTCCGCATCTACGACGGTGCAGGCGTTAGTGGCCTGCACAATTCACATTCCTCCCGGCTCTCAGATGTTAGTTCCCCTCCGGTTTCGTAAACCCCTTGACTATGACGCGTTCATGGGGGGTGCTGTGATCGGGCCTTCGCGTTCAGCTGAGCGGGTGTCGGACCTCATGTGTGCACAAACGCTCGTGCGAAGCGACCACGACCCCTTTATCCAGGTCCTTAACGGGGGATTGGAAACAGCCGTTATCTGTCAGGGAATGGTGCTTGCTCACGCGACGCCAGCCCCGTCAGAAGATGTGATCGTGGGTCACGTAGGGGGCGAGTCCTCTTCCGTTGCCAAGCCAGGTCCTGACACAGGATGGCTCAACGCGCTTTGCTCCACTTCTGCCGATATGTCACCATTACAGCATGCTAAATTACGCACGCTGCTGAGCGATTTCGCCGACGTTTTCAGTCAATGCAAATTCGACATTGGCTGCACTAAATTGCTAAGCCACCACATCGACACGGGTGATGCCGCTCCAATTCGTCAAGACCCATTCCGGTTGAGCCCGGCCGAAAAGGAACATGTACGGGTGGCCGTCAAGGATATGTTGGCGGCCGATGTCATTGCGCCATCAAATAGCCCATGGGGGGCGACGATCGTTCTTGTTTAGAAGCACGACGGGAGCCTCCGCTTTTGTGTTGACTTCAGGAAACTTCTTCTTGTTTCTTTCGGTAAAGTCACGTAGAAGGGAAGTAATAAAATAATAAAAATAAAACATAATAAAACAATTCTCACGACGTTTCGGCTACAACGCAAGCAGCCGTCTTCAGGTGAAGAATGAGACACTACCAAACTAGGAGCTTATATATAAGCTGCATTGGGGGTTGAAGAGCGCCTTAACAAAAAGAATGTGCATGTGAAGAGGAATTTAGCATATTCATGGAAAATGCGTAGGCGTTGGGCGGGGGGGCGCCCAACGCCTACGCATTTTCCATGAATATGCTAAATTCCTCTTCACATGCACATTCTTTTTGTTAAGGCGCTCTTCAACCCCCAATGCAGCTTATATATAAGCTCCTAGTTTGGTAGTGTCTCATTCTTCACCTGAAGACGGCTGCTTGCGTTGT